CCCCCCCCCCCACCCAGGGAAGAGCTGCTGTCCCCTCCTCAGTAAAGGAGAGTCGGGGCTCCTAGTGGCCACCCCGGTTCCTCGGGCCGGCGGCACTCCTGTGCTCGCACACGCACCCACACACGCACGGCGGCAGACACCTACTATTCTCGATGTTTCTACAGTTACTCCATCTCCCCAGTCTGTCAAGGTCCTTGTGCAGCGTTTCTGCTGCCAGGAAGGAACGGCTTGCCCCTGTTGTCATGGAAACCAGAATGTCATCAAAAAAGCTCTCCATGGTGTTAGCTTTCTATGGAAACCAGGAAGTACTAATACATCCTCAGATGAGAGGGCTGCTCTCCGCTCAGCCACCCCGCCCACCCAGCCCAGGAGGGAGAGCGCGTGTGCGCCCACCTCGCACGTTCCCTCGCACTAGGCCTGGGCCCAGGCGGTCGGCGCGGCATGGCATGGCTCGGGGGGCGGCGAAGGGGTGACAGCTCTGCCCACGCACACACACGCGCGCGCACACACACGCGCGCACGCAGCCAAGGGCCCCCGGTCCTCCACGGTGCTCCATTCCGTGTTCAGTGCGGTGTGGAGGCCCCCGAGGTGCTGCCAGTCGTCTGGGTTCGCAGGCAGCAGACGCCCCGCCAGGGCCTTGCTCCTCGTGGTTCTCTGTTGCTTCCCAGATCTGCAGCGTTTGCCCATGTCCCTGCTCTGCCCGTGCCCAGGTGTGCCCAGGTGTGGCCGCCGCGCACAGGGCAGCCAGCAGGTGGAGACGTCGAGCTGCCGCTGCCCTGGCCAGCCAGGCCACTCACAGACACCCAGGTCCAGCCCGAGGCCGGGGGACGGCGGCCTGTGGGCCCGGAGCTTGAAGAGGCTGCAAGCCAGCCCCAGACATAGCTCATTGCGTAGGCCTGGGGCTCTACACCGGGACCCGGATGTACTCACTGACCGTGAAGAGCGCCGGAAGCCAAACGTTTGGTCCTCCCGGACTCGAATGCGTCGGGCAGACACGCCACGCTTTTTTGCTCAGCTGTCTGTCGACGGGCACTCCGGGTGGGCCCAGGCCTTGGCTCTCGCGACTGACGCTGCTGCGAACACAATTCGCGCTCGCGGCCTCGCCTTCCCGGGTGAACACCTTGCCGGGGTGGCGCTGGGTCCTGCCGCCCGGCCAGCTTCCCAACGCCTAGGACGCTCGGAGCTGCGCCCCGCGGAGGCTGGACCCACGTCCCCCCCCCCCCCGCGCTCCGTGCGGGGGTTTCCACCCCTGGTCCTTAGCCAACCCCTGCCCGGCCACCGCGAGAGCGAAATGGAGCGCTGACGCTTGCCCTGGCCAGTGAGGATTCAAGTGCGTTTCTGCAGAGAGGGGACGTTCACATGTTTGAAAAACTGAAAGGGCGTCAGGAGCTGGCCCTGTAGGCCGCGTGTCTCCTAGCACAGTAGATTCACAATCCCGCGCCCAGAACATCAGCCACGACTCCTCGAAGAGCAAGCTTCTCCAGCGCTGTGCCGAGGGAGGAGAAGCGGTGTCACCCGCGTGATCACTCCCTGGAGAGCTGCACTCCCGAAACATACATAGGAAGCCCGCGGTAGCTGGCGAGGATGCCACGGGCCGACGCTGGCTGGAGTCTTCTGGGCTTGCTGCGGCCACCCCTTAGCACCATGCGCATGTGCGGAACCAGCGCGTGACACCTCCAACTGCTCGTGGGCGCTTTGATACCAAACCAGTAAGTGCTTCTCGTGTGTTGAAATGTTGGCCACTTCAATCCGGGGCTGACGGTTTTGGTCCTATCACGTGCCCAGGTCCCACTCGGCCTCCACCAACCACGGAGCCAAAGCCCTCAGCCTCCCTGCCCGCTGCCCCCTCAGGCAGTCTCACGTTCATTGCCACTGAACCCACATTCACTGCCACCCTAGTGTGCCTGCGTGGGTGCGGTGCGCACATCCCACCGCCCAGTGAAGCCGCCGGCTTACTGCTGTCACGCAATCACCCCTCCACCCACGAATCTTGCCCCAAACGCCACCCGGAGGGCCAGAGCACTCAGCAGGAACCTTGGAGGACACGTCCAGGCCTGTTCAACCATAAAACGTGGCGCATGAGGGGCGGGTGCCCACAGCGCTCTGGAGAGCGGCTGGGCGGGGCTGGACGGGGCCCTGCGGGCGGATGGACAGGGGTCAGGTGGTCACGGTGGGGACTTGGCCCCCTGTCTGTCACCGGGTTGGGGGCGGGGGGGCTCAGCCTTAAGCCTGTCTCCTTTCGAGATTCCGGGGGCGGACCCAGGGAGGCCAGACGGGAGCCCTGGCTCTGCCCATCCTCACCCACCTATGTGCTTTCACACTGGCACAATACATTTAGCACATATTCCACTGTCTTTACCTGTCTGTAGACAGCACATGGGGTTCACAGGGCTATCCAGTCTGGTGACTGCTGCTATGTAGTAGGCCTGCTAAACCTTTTTTGCATTAGTTTTTGTATTTTTAGGATAAATACGTACTAGGGGTATTACTGGATTTTATGGAATTTCCATTTTTATTTTCTTAACAATCTTCATATCACTTTCCAAAGAGGCTGCCCCAGCCAGCATTCCCACGGACAGTGGTGAGATTCCTGTCTCCACAACCTCCCTTGTTTTACCTGAGCCTTAGTGGGGTCAGGTAGTAGCACATTGAGGTTTTGACTTGTTTTTCATTTGATGTTGAACAATTTTTCATGTCCGTAGGTCACCTGCCTTTCCTCAGATTGGTGTCTACTTGGGTCTTTTGCCCGTTTTCTGCTTGGGCTTCCTGTTAGGTTGCTGTCGTATCAGAACTAACAAATGAACTCTAAATCTGTGTATGAATGAGAGTATGAAAAGTACAATTTGGGAGATTATTCCCTTGTTGTGTTTTGGTTTTTTTTTTATGTTTTCTTTTGAACAAAAGTCTCTTATTTTTAGGTAGTCTCGCTGGTTTATTATTCCCTTTGTCTCTCCGCTGTGGGCACTGAATCCCCAAAGACGCGTTTGTGGGGCTGTCCTGTCTTGGTCCCCTAGGTTTTCTTTCAACTAGCTTGTGATTTCTGTCAACCATGCAAACTGAAGAACCCTTGAATGATATCTGCATGGTACTGGGCTAGATTTTCATTTTGAAGTCTATGTTACTGGAATTAGGGCTGCTCCTTACTGAGAAAATACAAAAGGGTACACAGATAAAATAGATTTCATATTCTTTAATATTTTCTCAAGGAAGAACAATGTAAAACTCTGTATTTGAGGTTTCTGCCTTTGGGGATGACAAAGCTCCCGTGCCACCAAATGGTTGAAAGCTCAACACACAACTCTGGCTCAACTGCTTCCCACATAACTGTCTGGGTTCCTTTGGTGGTTAGCAGAAAAGGACTCTTCCATTCAACAGAAAAGCAACCGATAACAAGGTACTGACCAGCTAGAAACGTTTAGACCACTGCAATGTGGCTTAGCGCAGCTAATGTTATGCTTATAATGAACAACTTGGGTGGAAAGTTCTTTCTTCAAAGTCACCAGAATAACATGGATTGGAGATATTTTTCAACAACTGCCAGCTCTTGCCGCTGCTGTTTCAGGAAAGAAAACATTAAAGCATTCACATGTTAGTGAACTGCTGCACACATTTTCCTAAGTAAAATACCCCAGTTTTCACACCCCGCCTCAGACCTTCATGCCAACCCCCACCACTTACAGATTCCATCACAATGTTGTTCTGCAATGCAGCCATCTCTTGTCTGACTTCTCCATGTTCATCAATAAGGATATGTTCTTGATCCTTATCTAAGTCCTCAATACTCTGAAACAGGAAGTCCAGTTCAGTAATAAACTACCACTTTTCACTTCATGTTCTAACATGAAAGATTAAACACTAAAAGGAATGTTATACAGTCCAAAGGATGCTTGCTATTTATTTCAAATAAAGAATATTAGTATAAATAATGTGTAAGACCGAAATACCCATGTAAGGAATTTTTTAAGACTGTATTTCAGTCCCATATCATTATAGAGGTAGAACAGTGCCATATAATGTGCCCAAAAGAATTAAATGAAAGTTGAGGACAGAGGGGATCAGAAAGAACAAGAGACTGACATTCCCATTGCATGAATTGCCATCATTTTAAAACTCGCTAAGAAGTTTCTAATCACTAGGTAAGAGATTACCGTGACTAACAACGTAGTATACTCCAGTGAAGCAAATAAAAAGAAATCTGCAATGTGACTGCTTTAAGCTATGACAAACTTATGTCCTGTTTGCTATTTGCTCAACAAATAGTGATCTAGCACATCCTAAGTAAAAGGTACTCTGCTAAGTGCTATCGGGAAAAGCACCGTCACTTCCTTATGCCAATAAGAATTAAAAATCACATACATAAAAACACAAAAGCTTTATAACAATTCAGGGAAACACAAGTGTTATTTCTTTATCATGGAACTTAAGATTGAATTCAAATTAGCTGGCAGAAGAATAAGATTTCAGTAGGTAAGGGAAAAAGACGACGAAGTGTTCCAGGAGAGAAGCATAATCAAAGCAAGGATTTTGCACTGGGTCACTTCAAAGAAAGCAGCACTGTGGAGGGTGGCCGCAAAGGTGGTCTTGCTGCCCAGATGCCCTGAACCCGAGAACGGAAATGGGAAGGTAATGCCAGGTTTCTGGAGAGAAGGCAGAGGGCCGGGAGACTGTACTGCAGAACTGTCAAGAATGAGAGAAAGCAGGCAGGAGTTTATTTGACAGGGCAAGTAAAGTCCCGACCCAGGGCGCTGGCACAGGAGTTCAAAGAAACATTTGGCAGCAACGTCAGAGGAAATTCCAGGGCCCAGTAATGACGGGATGGTAAAAGCGCTGATGAGAGAAATCTTTGTTGGTACTTTACTAAACCTCCACACCAGGTCATAACCGATTCTCAGGGAGAACTAGAGCAACACGCTCTCTCTTTCACAGGGATTTTAAAGTAACTATGTTGCATATATAAAACGTTGGCTTTCCTTAAGCACTCATATTGAAACTCTTTCACAGTGTTGCTTGAACCACCTTGTTTGATTTAGAGCAATGACTCACTGGCATGTATTTGGCAAAGATGATTAAAAAGAACATCCCAAGGTAAAAGAGAGGAGGTTTAACGAGGATTCCATCACCACCTAATAATGACACATCTGTCTGGGGGAGAGAACAATGTTTCTGAGGAGACAGCCTATAGGCAAACAGGACAGTAGATGATTCTCAGATTGTCACAAGCTTAGCACCTCTGCTGGCTTTTCAAGCTGTTATACATGATTCTAAGTCTGCATATCAAGCCACTGGAAGTCACTGCCAATAGTATCAAAGTAAATGTACCATAAAACACTCATACAATATTTGCTGAAAGAGACACTCTTATCAATTTCTACTATTTTACATAAACCAATGATACAACAGAAACTAAAGACATTATAGCCAAAACACAATTTCTATGATAAAAGTTGTAACTGATCTTCTAGATATCTTCTGTTGGTACATTATAATTAGATATCAATTTTAACTTCAATGTTATATCTAGTTAAAATTCCCAACTTGGCTCTTACTGGTGGCATGGCAGGCGAGAGCACAGCTAAGAAGCTAAAGCCACTGCAGCTTCAGTTCCATCCCTACTCAGCCCCAGAGGTGACCCACATGGTGTGGCAGACTTTTCCCAACCCGCCCGCTGCTCCCCTCAGCAGTGTACTTCGTCAGTCGGCCTGTTCTGTTCCCCACCCTACCCTGTCTCTGGTGAATCCTCTCACCGCTCCTGCACCTCTGGCCTGGACCCCAGTTCTGTATGCATCAATAAATCTTTAAAAAAGTACCAATTTACCACTTCTTGTCTTGTATAACATCACAAAACTACTAATAAATCTTGAAATATACACACATTAACTTATATGTTTAAACGGAAAATTAATTCTGAAGGGAAGTTGGTTAAGACCTTAAAGTGGGTAACTAGAATATTTCCCCCATAGATTGTGAAACAATCCTGCTTGTACCTCAAAACAGACATTATGTTTTAGAAGAATGCATTGTGTTACCAAGTACTACAGACCTTTAAGAACTCCTCATTTAGACTTTTTAATTTTTTCTGTTTCTGGTGGTGAACCATTCTAGTTTGTTGAAAAATTTTTTTTTGTTCCTGAATCAAATGCTAGAAGAAAGAAAAAGATGAGGTAAAATGCAGTTAATCTGATAGCTGGCAAAGCATAGCCACATTAAGTTTAAAAGGATTTTTCTTTGAATTGATAGCTATATTTAACATTTCATTTTAACTTTTCTGACCAAGTTTCAAGATGTGTGTTCTCTAGCAATGAATGAAAAACATAGTAACACTGTCCATCAGCTTCTGGAAGAAATTTTCTGTCTTATTCATATTTTAAGACACGTCTTAAATCTAAGTCACTTCAAAATCCACAAAGGGCCCATAAAATGATCCCTTTACTAGAAATAAGTAAAAACTATGCAATAATCTTATTTAGCAGTCAATAAGGGCGTATTGTTAAGACTATTCCAACAATACTTAAATCACACAGTAATCCTTGGTCATGCAACATACACGCATATGAACATACAGATGAACCTTCAAATAACGCAGACTTTTGAGTTCTTGGCCAAACCTCCAAAAACAATACTGCCACCTCCCTGCTTTAGGTGTTCACTCCTG